TTATATTATAATATTTTTAATCTCTCACATATTAAAATTAAAAAAAATAATCCTCACTTATAACATTTTATTAATTTTGTTAATTGACTATTAATTCTATTAATTGACTATTAATTCTATTAATTAATTATTAATTGACTATTAATTAATTATTAATTGATAAAAACTTATTTTCAATTAACAGATTTAAACAGACAAAAAGATATGAAAATAAAAATGAGGAAAATGGCTTGGCAAGGTCCTTACTTGATTTCACATTCCTTGCTCGATTCGCAGCACCCTCTTCCTAAACATGGCTTCTACTTCCTTTTGCGGCGGCAATAGAGTGCAAGGGAAATGACATGATGATTGAAGTCTTGAAGGAGTTGTTGCTTTATGTTTTTGGCTATTTTTGGTTAGGGTTTGTGACTTAACTTTTATTTTTATTTTTTATATTTTATTTGTTAAAAATTATTGTTCTTATATGAATATTAAATTATTACCTATTAAGTAATTTAATTATACAAGTCTAGTTGAAATTTCAATTATACAAGCACATGTAGTATATTAGTTAAACAAGTCAAGTAGACATTTTAAGTAAATAATTTTAAACCCCTATACATGTGATCTAGCTTGATACTTATAATTATACTATTTTTATGCCAACTATTTATTTAGTTTTCTCATAATTTAAGTATAATGCTTATCCAAACGAAAATGATATTTTTAAGTAATAGGTTTCACCTCTCCCAAACAAATCCAGTCCAACCCAATGGAAGAACTTGTAAAAGGCTTAGGCCCAGACTAGCCCAATCCAAGTGAAGAAATAGTTGACTTTAAACAAGTAGCTAAAAACCCAGCTCAACCCAATGGAAAATTTTTACACAAAGCAGGATTCCTTCGTTCATTTCTAGGGTTTTTTACTTTTTACCAGTAATTTCCATTTCCCTCTTTCTGACTCTGCCATTTCAACTAGTATCGGTGAGAACAAGAAAAAAAAATTTTTTTTTTTTGTTTGTTTCGGCGCCCGTTTCATTCTCTACTCTGGGTGTGTGGGATTTAACTTGGAATCGAAAAAATGTGTGGATTTTGTTCACTTCAGGACTGCGTTTTCTTCACTCATGAAGAGAGTAATGCCGTGGAGTGATAAGGTTGATCTTATCTCTTCTGATGAATCTTCTTCAGAAGCAGAGGTGGATGACAATGATGGAACCAGTAATTCGCCTACTGAGCAACCACCCCAAGAATTGTCCCCTCAAGGTACTTTCAAGACATTTGTTTCATCTCGCTTTTGGTTGAGTCTACAAATTTCTCGTTTCCTTTCCGGTTCATGTCCTTTTACTGTCTTGCTCTTAGCAAGAAAGCAACATTTGACTGTATCAATGGTAATAGTTTCTAACAAGGTAATTAGTTGCCTTTTATAACGTGGGATTTTGGATACAATCTCATCTTTAGTTCTACAAGAAGTTTGGTGGTTGTTGTGAGAATTGTAACTGTTAGGACGGGAAGCAAAAACACTAATGGCAATGGGTGCTTTAGCTGTATAATTGGCTTTTTCTACTGTAACTGGCTGAAGCAACAGATTACCAATCTTGTTCTTGTCTGCTTAATGATGTAGTATTCACTAGCAATGTAATATGTGTTGAATTATAGAATTAGAATTAATTAGTAGTGTTCTTTCATGGAAGAATTGTTCTTGTTTTGTTTACTTTTGCTAGTGCTAGATATTGGGTTTAAAATCAACCTAGATGGGTGAGTTAGTGTTGCCTGAAGTTTCTTTGAACAGGTATGTTGATGAAAAGGGCAGAATTGTATCAGGAGTATATGAAGGAAGTGCCTATCCCAGCGCAGTGGGGCTCTGTTATTCCATTTACATCATGGATGGGATTAGGTAGATCGATCAAGCAATTATATGGCCAACCCTTGCATTACCTCGCCAATGTTCTCCTAAAACAGTGGGACCAATTGAGATTTGGAAGTGAGGATGAAGACACGCCTCTGGATATCATCTTTCATCCTTGTAAAGCTGAATCCACCATCTGGCTTATTGAAGAAGCCCATCAGCGCATCACAGCTTCTCATCGCATAGCTAAACTCTGGCAGTCAGATCCAATGCATGATGCTTTTGTTGATCCCATCTTCCCTGAGTTGTTGTGGTTCATGGGTTCACTTCTAACTCTGGTTGTGATTCTGTGTAATGTTTCTTACAACTCAATAAAACCTTGAACCTACTAAAACCTCATCTTTTCTTTGGGACAACTGAAGGTGCTGGACCTCTGGATTTGGTTGGGTTTCCCGTTTGAAGATTTTCCCTGACCACAAGCTGGCATCTTCGCAAAAGGCAACGTTTAGCATGTTGTTTTGTTTCTTTCTACTGTATTTTCCTCCGTATTGATGCCTTATGAAGGTGAAATGACTCTGTAGGTTAATTGAAGATTTCCTAGAGAGACTATGCTGTAGGTCGAAGCCAAACGCAAGAAAGTTATCTACACGCTCTAGCTTGAATTCTCTATTCTCCAATGACGCCTACAAGAGAAAGGCACAAGGAAGAAGTGGGAGGGAACTGCGAAATTCTTTT